TCCCACAGAGGTCTAACAGGCTCTTCAATCTGCCCCATCAAGCAGCCCCTGCCAGCATCAAGTACCACACACCACCCTTTACTGCAGAGGTGGGCAATTATTTTGGGTGGAGGGCTGCTTAGCAAGTTTTAGCAAGCTGTTGAGGGCCACATGGGTAACCCCACCCCTTGACAGATGCCCCGCCCCCTGGACCATCTTGGGACTGGAAGTCCTGCCCTGACCTCTGACCCTTGCCACCGGAAGTCCCTCCCCTTGTCCCTGGAAGTACTCCTTGAGAGAAGAGGGTTTGCCATCTTAGAACCAGGAAAAAAAAATTATGTACTAAAAATCAAATACCTGTATTATATTTTAATTCAATTAAAAATACATTTTTGTCTTGATACCTGTGTGTTTGTGGTTTATATGTAGAAGAGATTGCATAATAGCTCAAAATGTAGCCTTACTCTTGTATAGTGTGTGGGGTGTGCAGCGGTGTTGGGGGGTATGGGTGGATGTGGGGTTTGTGGGGAGGTGTGTCTGTGTGTCAGCTCCTGCTGCCAGGGAAGGGCCTGTCATGCTTGGAGGGCAGTGCCTGGAGCCACTGGGGGTGGCACGAGTCAGTGGGGATGTGGCCCGGGATGCCGAAAGCCCAAGGAGGTGGTACAGAACTTGCACCGTGCACCTGAGGCTTGGAGCAGCAAAGGCCTGCCTGCCCCCACCACGGGTGGCCCAGGGGTTAACACCACCCTGGGGGGATGGCCCAGTCCCCACCCCCCCTACAGGGGCCCAATGGCCTTGTCAGCAGCTCACCCCCCCCATCCCCAAGACAGGCAGGGAGGCTGCTCCAGGAGCTGGAGCCACAGCTCCTTTTTTCCTCTGAAAGCTCCTGCAGCCTCCCCAAGCTTCCCATGCCCTGGGCCAGGACCCTGCCAGGTCATGCCACCCCCAGCAGCTTCGGGAGGCGACCCGTGCTGCCCCCAGGGCTGGCCAGGAGCTTTCCCAGGGCCCCTGGGCTCCTCGCAGCTGCAGGAACTTCTGGAGCAGGAAAGCAGCCACAGCTCCGTTTCTGTTCCTGTCACAGCCTCCCCACCCATCCTGGGGCTGGGGAGAGTGAGCTGCCGCTGGGCCCCTGTAGGGCAGGGGGCCCGGGCCTTCCTTCCAGGGTGGCAGCACCCACCGGAGCCTCCCTTTGTGGGGGCAGCCGGGCCATTGCTGCCCCAAGCCTCAGGCATGGGATGGAAGTTCTACACTGCCTCCCTAGGCCACATCCCCACCGGGTCATGCTGCCCTCAGCAGCCCCAGGCAGCCCCCATGCTGCCTCCAGGGGGGTTGGGAGCCAGCAACAGCCAGGCGGTGCCCCAGAACCAGTGCCAACGGGGCCCAGAGCAGGGTGGCAGAAGCCCAGGGCGCAGCTGCCTGGGTTCTACAGAGCCTGGCCGGAATACCCCAGCAGGGAGAGAGGGGAGCCACCGCACTCTGGGCCCCACCAGTGCTGGCTCCCGCATGCTCTGTCACTCCCAGCCCCCAACCCCAGCCCCGTGGCCAGACGGGGACCAGTGTGCTCCCCCCCACCTCTTACCTGAGCTTCCCACCCTGGCACAGGCAAGAACAGCCTCATGGTCCCTCCAGCTGGGGAGGCAGGGCAAGGCAGGCCCTGCTCTTCCAGGAGCCTGCTGTGGCTTCCCTCCTGTCACTTTTGACAGGAGTCAGAGGCAAATTAATATTAATTTTTTAAAAATTTCTAGGGGCCCCGCAAGCCAGACAGAATGGCATGGCAGGCTGGATGCAGCCCGCGGGCTGTATTTTGCCTCAACTGATCTGACAACTTGGGTGAAAACAACAGATTGCCTTGTTTCCATTAGGCTTTTCCTGTGGGTTTTTTCAAGTTAAGAACATTCCTTCTCATCCAGTGAAGACACAGCTTGGATGTGCAGGAGATTGTCTCTTGTAAATTCTCACTACACAAAAAAGACAGATGTCTAAATAATCCAGGACAGATCTTCTCCTTCACTAATATGCAGAGGATTTTACAACTGCGACAGAGCAGTACCAATGGCATTATACCATCTCAGGGATTTTTCCCATCCCTTAGATATTCTCAGCCAGATTTTAGTCCTGAGGCAGTCAAAAGGACCACAAAGAGTAACAAGAAAAGCTGGTCTCCAATCTCAAGGGGAAACACAAAAACAAAACCAACCACTTGTGATGTCTCTTTCTTCAAATTGTCCAGACTGCTGGATTTCTGCAGGGCTGAAGTTCTAAAACAACATAAGACATTAAAATGTTGCATCACCTGCTATGAACTATGCTTCAACACTGAGTGTATTTTAATGTAAAAGCCTACATAGTTTGTTACAATATCATTTAAAATGGTCAAAGCAAAGTTGAGGCAATCACTGCATTGCTCAAAACTCCTGTACTTCAGTTAGGCATTGCAATGAGATAGATCTTCCATGTCATAATCGCTGCGTTTGAATGAAAGAGGAAGAGCCAATATTGTACTGACAGGATACTTAGCTCCCAAATTCTTTGCTTCTCAGTTTAAATAATATTTAAAAAATGTTAACTGAAATGGGTTTACATAAAACCAAACTGGGGAAACAGCATGCATAATTTGCTGTTTTCATTGTTTAATCTTCCTATGTGTATACAACAAAAATGCCTGTTTTGTATATAGGCTTCATGAATACCATATACCGGGACATTAAACATTCTCCCAAGCTGACATAATACTTTAAAATATATGTATTTGTAAAGCATAAAAACAACTATTTTAAAAGAAGGGAAAAGTTACCTATTTTGGGACTGTATCAAAAACAGAGGGGCTGGAAAAAGCCAACCTATTTCAGGATTAGAGTCAAAACGGAAAATGCATATACCAATTTAAGACCACATTAAACATTTGAAAAACACTGAACTGGGATCCGACTTAATTTTAGCATCCTTGCCAATAAATATTACCTAATTGCAGTTTAAAAAAAATGTAGGCCAAGTCATGTATATGCATTGGCATATATTACCGTAAATCCTATTGATACTTAGCAGTATAGGTCATAAAGTCATAGAGAAGTAGAGTTGGAAGGGACCTCCAGAGGTCATCTAGTCCAACCTCCTGACTGAGGCAGAATCTTCCCTGTCCAAACCATCCCATCCAACCATAATCTAAATTCTACGTAATACTACCCTCAACACTGACACCCATAGGTAAAATGGGGAAACCACAGCAGCCAATGTCCTGCTTCTATAAAATGTTGTCAGTATGCATTCAAGAGGTTCCAGGTAGAGGACCATGCTCCCCCCCACCCCCACTACAGAGGAAGGCAAAAATCCCCACAGCCCATACCAATCTGACCATGGGTTAAAATTCCTTCCTGTCCCCAAATATGGTAATTGGTCTGACCCCGAGCAGAGGGACAAGACCTTCCAGCTAGGAACCTCTGGCTTCACTCCTAGTAGAAGAATCAACACACCCCAGCTGAAGTCCCCAACCTTAGCTGTAGCAAATACCCAACGTTTCTGGGGAGGTTTAAAAATCACCCTGACATGTATATCAGAAAAAAGGGGCAAAGGGGGAGAACAGGAGCAACCTGTAGAGCCAAAAGCATGGGAAACACCCATGGTAGAAAATAAGCATAGATCATCCCTGATCAGGGGCTGTCCAACCTCTTCTTGAACACCTGCAGTGATGGAGAGTCCACAACTTCCCTAGGCAGTCTATTCCACTCCCTCACAGTAAAGAAGTTTTTCCAGATATCCAATCTAAATTTACTTTGCTACAACTTCAGACTATTAGTCTGTGTCCTCCTTTCTGTAGCAAGAAAGGAAAGGTGCTTTACCTCTTCTTTATGGCAGCCCTTCAAATATTTGAAGACTGCTATCATGTCCCCTCTTACACACCTTTTCCACAAGCTGAACCTTTTCCACATGCATAGCTCCTTCAGCCTCTCATACAACTTGCCTTTCAAGTCCTTAACCATCTTTGTTGCCTGCCTCTGGACCCTCTCAAACTTCTCCATGTCCTTTTTAAGATATGGAGCCCAGAAATGCACATAGTAATCCAGATGAGGCCTAACCAGTGTTGAGTAGAGAGGCACTATCACCTCCTGTGTTTTACACCTAATGCTTCTATTGGTGCATTCCAAAATGGCATTCACTGGTTGTGTGGCTATATCACTGCAGACTCATAAGTCTGTGATCTACCAAGACTCAAGTCCTTTTTCACAGAGCTGCCATTCAGCCAGGTGTCCCCCATTTTGTATTTGTTTTTGATGATTCCTCATGAGGTGTAGCACCTTGCATTTGTTCGCATTGAACTTCATCCTGTTAGCTCTAGCCCAACTTTCCAATAAGTCAAGATCCTTCTGAATTGCACTCACATCCGTCAGCGTGTTCACAGCCCTTCCCAATTCCATGTCATCCTCACTCAAGAAGATTTCTATGCCAGCAACCAAACAGTTAATAAACACATTGAACAGCACCAGACCGAGGACAGACTCCTATGGGCTCCACTCAAAACCTTCTGCCATTCTGACATGGACCCATGAATAATTACCCTTTGCTGGCAGCTATTGAGCCGGTTATCAATGCACTTTATAGTAGTTTTATTCAGTCCACATTTCTCCAATTTGTTTATGAGACGGTCATGTGGGACCTGGACAAAAGCTTTGCTGAAGTCCACATACACTATATCCACAGCATTGCCTTCATCAACCCAAACAGTTACTTTGTCAAAGAAGGAGATCAGGTGTGTGTGATGTGACTTGTTTTTCATAAATCCATGCTGGCTGTTTCCAGTCAACCCTTCCTCCCGCAGGTGACCTTGCTTAGGATATGCCCCAGTAACTTCCCAGGTATTGAGGTGAGGCTAACCTGCCTGTAGTTCCCCAGGTCCTCCCTTACTGCCTTTTTTAAAGAGGAGCACCATGTTGGCGCTTTTCCAGTCCTCTAGTATCTGTCCTGTCACCCACACCTTCACAAAAGTCATTGCCAAGGGCTGTGAGATTTCCTTGGCCAGTTCCTTCAGGACCTGAGGATGAAGCTCATCTGGCTCTGCTGACTTGAATTCATTCAGACCCAACAAAAGCTCTCTCACCATCTCTTGTGTTATCTCCTTTCTCAGCTTGCCCCCTTCCTTATCCAAATAATCCCTGTTAGGTATTGGCAGCTGAATTTTTTTGTGAAGACTGAGGCAAAGTAGCTGTTGAGTAGCTCTGCCTGCTTTGTATTCTGATTTAGGAGTTCTCCCTGACTTGTTAACGGAGAATTCACAGCTTTCTTGGTCCTTTTTTTCTGGCCAACTTACTTATAGAACCTCTTCTTGTTGTCCTTAGCCTCCTTTGTGCCAGGTGCAGTTTGTTCTTTATGTTTACCTTCCTAATTTTGTCCCTGTAGGTTCTTGCTATTCCCTGGTATGTGTCCCAGGTGATCTACCTGTTCTTCCATTGCCTGTATGTTTTCTTTTGTATTTCAAGCATTTTAGAAGCTGCTTGTGCAGTGACATTGGTCTCTTGCCATTCTTCTTGTGCTTCCATTGTGCTGGGGAAGATTTTCTTGTTGGACTTCCAATACTGTGCCCCTTAGAAGATCCCAGCCCTCCTATCGTGCCTGTTAACTCCCTGATTTGGATGAAATCCACCTTCTTGAAATCTAGCATCCTAATTTTGCTGACCTCATGCTTTTGCCATTGCAGAAATCTAGTGTATTGTGATAGCTTCCTCCCAAGTTACCCAGCTCCTTCACATCTTCCACCAGTTCTTCCCTGTTGGTCAGGACAAGATCCAAGACAGATGATCCCCTAATTGTATTCTCCACTTTCTGGAAGAGAAGATTATCCTCCACAGAGGTTAGGAACCAGCATGACATTTTGTTTTACTGCACTGTTTTTCCAGCAGATACCATCCCATAGCTTTTGGATACATTTGTCACCTTCTTGAAGAGTACCTCATCCACCTCCTCTTCCTGATTAGGTGGCCTATAATAAATCCCCACCATTATATTGCTGACACATTTTTCACCTTTCAATTTCACCCAAATGCATTCTGTTTTGCCATCTTCTTCCTCCTGAACCGCGGAACAAGTGTATGTGTTTTTGACATACAAGACAATACCACCACCCTTCCTCCCAACCCTGTCCTTCCATAACAGCGTTACCTTCAAGGCTCCCATTCCAGTCATAAGAGCTATCCCACCAGGTCTTGGTGATACCAATCAGATTGTAGTTCTTTTCACAAGCTGCAGCTTCCAACTCCACTCATTGTCAAAGAAGCCAAAGCCTTCATCGCCAAACGGCTCCTTTAATCTTACCCTTTTTACTGCACACCGCCGCACTGCTGATTGGCAGAGGGCCCCCCACTGCTTGCTGCTGATCAGCCAGGAGGCAAAAATGCCATAGTTTTTTCTCCCACTGGCTGGAAGGCAAAAAACTATGCCTCATGACCCCTCCTCCAGTCACCAATCAGCAGCACACAGCAGGGCCATCAAGGCTCCTTCACCAATCAGCAGTGGGAGAGCACACGGCAGAAAGAGCAAAATCAAAGGAGCCGCTGCAAGTGCAGCTCCACTGTGACTTAGGTAGTTCTGTACTTATGCTGTAAGGATTTAAAAAAAAAAGAGGGGAGAAAGGGAGGAAAAAAACAACACACCACAAGAACCTGCACTCCAAGCACCTGCACCAGGGCCCTTGCCCACATTCACACGCGCGCACACTCACTCACTCACTCACTCACTCCTGCTCCTTGGCTCCCTCCAACAGCAAACTCCCTAGGCAAGCTCTTTCTCTGTTTGCTGTCCTCTGTTTCTCCCACAATTTGCTAGGGGCTACCTTTTTATAAGGCTGCCTATCCTAGCTCCACCCCTCAGTTACCTAAACCAGCTCCGGCCAGAGCAAACCCTGTCACTTAGTCATTCCAAAAGGGGGAAGAAAAGAACAAAGAGAGAGAAGGAAAGAAAGAAAGAAAAAAAAAAGAAATCACACACCACAGGGGGAGGAAAAACCCCAGACACACACCAGACACTAGGCAAACACTCTAGCAGCAAACAGCTACCCCAAGTCACTAGCACAGAGAAAAGTCTCTTCAAGGAAGTCCTATACCAGAGTTGCTTATCCCAGAGCCACTGCTCTCTGCTTATTGCTCAGCTTACTAGCCTATAGATACATCCTCTGTGAGACTTACGCTTCTATGTGTGGCAGAAAGGAAAAAGCTAGCACATGTTAGTAGAAAGAGCACTTAAAATTATTATAGGAAACTGAACTGAAAAGACCACAGCAGTAAATCAAAATAGTTTAATTAGAATTATTGCACACATTTCCACACGATCTTTAAAAACACTTCAAAGGTCTGGCAGAAATGCATCTCAGGAGCAGGATCTCATTAAATGATATAGTACTTACATTTGACTATCGCACAATGGTGCTTCAACAGAGGAACTTGATATTTTCCCTGCACTGAAAAACAAGGTAGTAGAAGTATAAGATATCTAAGAATCTCATTAATACATCCTTCCTGATGCAGACATACTACCTTCTTATCTAGTCTCCAGTCACAGTGTTTGACTTTAAAAAGAAAGAAAATACAAAAATCTCACCCAGTGCTCTTGTTGTTGATAGCTGTCCTGTTTGAGACTAGTTTCAAAAGAAACCTGTTTCACAATATCAAATCTCAAACAAATCCATTTCTCAGATTTCTTAACACTGACTCATCACCTTCCTGGTGGTTTAGCTGTGGTCCTGTTCCAGCCACAACTTACAGCACAGAGCTGGCTGCCATGATGGCAATTGCACTGGTGTTGTAGGCTGCTGCTGCAGTACAGTAGTGGCAATTTGCGTTCCCCACCCCTGCTCCAAAAAAGTGACACCCAGGGTGTCCCCTCTGGTTACATTGCTGCTAGCTAACTACTTACACTTTGGTAACACCTTGCTGTAAATTTTAAGAGCTATGGAAAAATCTACACTTACTGCAAATTTGCCTCAATGCAAATGATGCTGTTGTGTCTATAACTAAGGTGTTTATATGAAGTCCAAACAATTCTCCAAAGCAGGGGTTGTCAACCAGGGGTATACGTACCCCCAGGGGTACATAGAAATGACTTTGGGGGGGACACGCCAGGGCATGGCAGTGTCTCCCTCACCTCTTACCTGAGGGAAGGCTGCGCCAGGCGCTGCCGGCCCCATGCAGCACACCACAGTGCCTCTCAACCCCCACCCCAGCTTGCTCTCTTGATTGGTTGCCAAGGTTTCAATGGTGGGGGAAGAGGGGTAAGTGTGTTTCTATGCCTGGTCCCAGGAGCAGGGCAAGGAGGTGGGGGTGCAAAGGCAGCATCGCCCCTCTGTGGGCCACACAAACACTGCCTGGCTCAACCAGGAGGCAGGGTCACATGTGGTGGTCACCACCACCACCACCCTGCACCGCTTTCCCACGGCTGGTTGCACATGCGCCTCCATGGGCTGCTGACAGGCGATGTGCAATTGTCTGGGCCTGAGGCCCATCAGCAGCTTGCAGAGCTTCACGTGCAACCGGCTGTGGGAAAGTGGGGTGCAGGGACGATGGCAGTGGGTGGCAGCAGTGGCTGCCACGGGCAAGCAACCCCCACCCAGAATCCAGCCGTCGCCACCAGAAGGGGTGCACTTGCTAAAAAAGGTTGAAAACCCCTGGCCCACAGCAGAAGATTCTCCACTGCATTAGATCACCTTTCTGCTCATTCCATCCATGTCAACATCTTTTTTTCTTGCAACACACTGAGGCCACATTGTTGGTGCTTCATGAACAACAAAGAAATACTTTTTAGATTTTAAAACCAACAAAACCCATCGCATTTGGTAAGCAAACAATTTGGCCCCATTCACATTCCAATATATCCGTGCTAGTGTCCTGAAACTGACTTAACTTTCCAATTGTCCATGTGTCGCTAATAAACTCAATTTTAATTAACACTCTAGTGGTATTTTTTGGATACATATGCCACTTAGAAACAGAAGTGGCCATACCTTGTTTCACTTCTAATTTCTGGGTTCAGCTGTGCTTTTACTTTTTCTGCACCTGCTTTGGAGCTTTTTGGTGTTGATGAAAAAGAAGGGATTGAGACCTGCAAGATGCTGGTGTGGACCTGAAGGGAATTCTAAAAGAAGAAAGAATAGATTGTTACATTGCTATGTGTTAAAACTATATAACTATTGAATGAAAGTAAGAATAAAATAGAAACAGATGTATGAAATACTGCATCTCCAGGGTATAACAAGCCAATATATTCCCATATCAACAATTTGAATGCTTGTAAAATAGGCCAGGTGGCACTGAAAATTAAGGGCTTGCATCACTATAATCAGCATTTAGACCTTCATAAGCAAGAAATGGATGCATAATATATAGTCCTACACCCATGTAATGTATTTGAATTCAGTCCAGAATTACAGCAGAAAAAATTAAAAAACCTAAAATAATTCTAATTAGATGGGGGAAAATAACTAATTCTTATATAGTTGGCAGCATTCCCACAAAATCTGTACTCTCCACAAAAAACAGTGGAAGATTTAAGGAAACTTCCCAAAACCCAGAAGGCTCACCAAAATGCAGTCTTGGCTTGTATAATACAACACCACCAGGAGTAACCTTTTCAAGTAGTGATATATTGAGAGAAAAAGACAGATACCTCTTCGAGGAAGCTCACACTATACTCTTCACAACCTGGAGAACCAATTACCGGAGTAAGAGACAGGCTCTTTTCTGGATCAATTAGATTCTGTGCATCCAATAAGACTGCTGAAACAGATCCTGAATTCACAAACTCTTCATATTCACCGTCTGTGCCTAATAGAAGAGAAAGGGAAATCCTGTGGGCTTTACTGCTGCACACAAGATAGGGTCTGTTTTAATGAAGAGCAAAGCATGATTCTTGTTTATGGACTGAGGGTAGGTGCCTGGAGGATGGTAATGGTGATGGAAGAAAAGTGTAAGAGTAGGGTGAGTTGCTGCTTTAATCTTTTCCTGCCTGAAGTCGTGACTTCCCAACAGGTTAAAAAAAACCCTCCTCTAATGAAAACAATCGCAACAGCACTTAACAGCAGACATTCTAATTTCAGCAGTACCAAGTATCAATGACCCTTAGGCATCTATATGATTGTTGCAGTTGCGGTGCCAATATCTAATAAGATGAATAAATTCTCACACTATGAGCCACACCCTTTAATGGTATAACATGGGATAAGCTCCGCTGACTTTAGTCGAACTACGTCAGCTTTCACTACCTGAGGATTTAGCTTTGTAAAATCCCTATTTTGTAGAATGTGATACCAGTAATATTACACAGAACTTTGGCACACTTGAGATTCAACAAGAACTTTTTATTTATTTAATCCAACAGATGAGTTTTAAACTCATGGTTTTAAATGAATATCCTAAAATCATGTGGGTAGTGAATTCCAGACCAGACAAATTATTTCAAGTGCCAAGTGCTTGTGGAAATTGGAAGTGGGACCCTGACTAACACCTAGGGTGAAATATTCTGAAGTGCCATGCTAAAAGATAAGAGACTAGAGATATGGGACTATAGCAGGGGTGGGCCAGAAAATTTAGAAAATTAATATTTATCTGCCCCTGGCTGCCTGTCATGCAGCCCTCAATGGCTTGCCAAAACTCAATAAGCGGCCCTCTATCTGAAATATTTGCCCATCCCTGGACTAGAGTGTAACTCCACTGCCACCAACATGCGTTGCCAGTTCTGGACTACTGCAGGAATTAGCATGACTAAATTACAGCAGTCTATCTCCAGATAACAGCATCAGCTGGCATTCCCATAATGCTTTGCACCACAAGCACAGTCCCTCTTACATTGGACAAGTTGCTCTTACTCTGACTCATAGAAGTCCCTTAAGTGAGGCTCATGAAGGGGTCCTTGTAGAGTAGCACAAGCTGCCTTATGCAAAAACTGAATGGGGAGGAGACTGAACCACAGCAGTGTAAAGAGTCCACAAATTAGGTAGTTTTCTCACCCTTGCAATTTTATTTCTGTTATCATACCTGAAACCCAACATCTGCACACAAGCATTTCAGTGGGAGCATTTTCAATACACCAAACATCTTTGTTCTTATTATAATGTTAAACACCAAAACTCTGGGGCATATATATTTCTTTTCCCCATCTTGAATGAACCAAAAAGGAGAAGACAAATATGTGAGTCTGAAATTTAAATGAAAAACCAAAATCTCCATTATGCCAGCTCAGTTATCCATAGGTAAAATGGGGAACAAAGCAAAGAAGAAAACAACATAAAAAAAAAAGAGACGGAATCAACTTCTATGCTAGCTTTAAATAAGGGGGGGGGAAGAGGGGAAAATCTCCGCCATTTTGCACAATACTGCAAATCAATTGCATCTCATTCTATTAGTTTATAGTTTGCATACAGGTTTCCTCACTTTATAAGGGTTCTGTATGTGCAAATTTGCTCTTATGCAATGACTTTTTATACCAACAATGCAAGGTAAATTCACTCTTATGCAATCAGTGTTGTGAAAGTCCACAGTCAGCTGCTTTGTGCAGTGCATTGTGGGAGTGACGCGCACCAAAATAGTCTCCTGTATGGATCCTTGCTCATTGTCTGTGACGTGTTTCTGTAGTTGCCATTCCCATTATGATAGTGCTCTGTGCTTGTGTGTAGTCTGCTGTTGGTGAGTATCAAAACGGTCTTGTAAAAGTGGTAGAAATGGGTTTAGGGGTCAGTATGCTTGAGCTGTTGGAACATATCCATATTTGTTACATTGTACACAAATGCCATTTTCCAAGAACACATGTACAGCATAAAGCAAGGGAAAACTGCCTTTCACTTTCACTGACCAAGCTCTCATCCCCTAACTGGTGCAGTAATATTGAAATGTATGGATTTCTACCCTGCTGATCAATACCAGCATGCTACATGACTGACATTCACAAGAAAAGGTACTGAGGCATTCCTAGTATGAGTCTGTAATTAATTGTCAAAGCATTTTTGTATCTGAATTTAAATCTTACTGCTTGTTTTTCCCAAACTAAAATTTGGTCTGCGAAGTGTACAGGAGAGAGAGAACAAAAATTATTTTACCAGCCTCCCTTTTTTTACGTGTCAAGCAATTTCTCACTCTCTCCCCTGCTGCTCTTCCCAATATTAAATAGGTGCATTTGTAATCCTAGCAACCTTCACTCATGTCATGCAAGGGTTCTCATTCATTACCTACTCACATGAGGTTTGCATATGAGGCCTGCAAACTATGTACCTCATGACCCTGGTAAATAAATTACCAGTCATGAAAAGCTACACCTTGATCCAAAAACCACTAAAGTCAACAGAATAACTATCACTGACATGAACAGATTTAGGATTAGGCTCTTTATGGGGAGGGAAGGAGTGGTTTCGGCACGTCACTTGTTTAATCAGGAATTTGTAAGATGCCTCATGTATAGCTTTATGGAAGGGATAAGGAAGAAAACATACTATTCATATGATATTAGGGCATTCTGGTGATCAAGGATATAATGAAACTGCTATGAGTGACTAAGGCAATGAGAGGTGGGGATTTTTTAAAATATATATCAGAAATATTATACAGAATTTCTACATACTTGTGATTAAACTAGAAATACTACTATTTTATACAAAACAGTTGAATTCTAATTCATGGTTTTAAATACCAGACAAATTTTTTCAAGTGCCAGGGTGTTTAGGTAGCTTGCTCGAAAAGCTGTATTTTCACACTGTTTAATGGTTCTCAGGATACCTGCATTTTTATTTGTGGTTTTGCAACGGTCAAGCAAGCTCAAACCACAAACGTGTCCAGAACGTCAAAGTTTTTATGGAGGAATCTTTCCCTTCTCTTCTTCGAAAATGGTCCTAGGAATAAGGCTGAGAACAGTTTTACCCCTATAAATCCTAGGAAAACTGCAAGTGCCACAAGTCACTGGGGGATATGGAAAAGCCCCACAAATCCCCTACAATTCACTGACCCTACCATTCTGTGTTGACCTCCTTAGATCCATCCCTTTGTGTAGGTCCTCAATATTAACACTCCTCCCTCACAGAGCACTGGCAGTTCATGCAGCAAGACTTCCTTCTCTGTTTCCTAATGGCTTTCTAACACCAGCAGTTGGAGTGGCACTTTAGATACTGGTTCAGAAAGGCACAAGCTTTTGTAAGCAACAACCTATTTTGTCAGATGCTAGTTGTTTGTGGAGGTTTGAGGTAGGTTATTCCGAAAAAAATCTGTCTCCAAGTGCAAGATAATACTATAAGCCACTATGCTTCCTCTGTTGAACGGTGCATGAACATGGAAGGTTAATATTTGGTATACTATCAGTTTCTTCTGTAAAAATATTAGGTAGTCTTCCAGCTAGCAAAACACCACAGTGCATTTTAGCAGTTACTGTTTGGGGCAAATCTAATAGAAATCCAACAGCTGTGATATAAAATGTATACACAGCGCAAAGAATTGCAGAATAAAAGCCACGCAATTCTTGAAAGAGTACATCAATGTGTGTGTGCATGGATGTGCACGCACCCATGGGTTCAAGGTAAGACTGCATAGATCACCAGAAAGTCTTTCCTAACTTTTGAGTGATTTAGATTTCCAAATCAAATAACTCTTTGTAATGCAATTAATATGATGCTAGGTAGGCTTTTTAAAAAAGGTAAAATGTAAAATAAATTCTCTCTCATAAGCAGGGATCTCTGTAATCATGCCAGAAGTGTCCCCCGTAGCAGCTCCTTTAAATTTTTTTATTTCACTGCTTATTCCTCCCCCCGACTGGCAGAGGCGTAGGCCCCTCTGATCAGGCTGTTTGCTACTGATTGCTGGGGAAATGAAAAACAGTTTTAAATATGTTATGGTTTTTGCCTCCCCACTGGTCCACAGCAAGCAGTCCAATCACCAGGGCCCCTCTGCCAATCAGTGGTGGGGAGGCAAATACTGCAGTTTTTGTTTCACTGGCAATCAGCGGCAAATGACCTAGCAAGCCAGGCCCCTCCACCAATCAGGGACAGGTGGAGCAAGTGGTGAAATGAAAAAAAAATTATAGGAGTCACTGCGTGGGCTACTTCCTCTGTGATTTACAGAGATTCCTACTCATGAAATTTTAACAGCCTCCCCATCACCAGAGCACATTATCATCAAAATCCTGAGACTTTAGCACTGCAGCCCACTATTCTAACACAGGATTAAGTGGAGAAAGCAGTCTTCCCAGAGAGGAAGAGACCACTGGTATCAGACTGCTAATTTCTAAGGGTGACCTAGGGAAGCGTGGTCCAACCGTGTTTGTTCTCTTCCTGCCTACCACAGAAAATGGGGGGCTTTTGTTCCAAGTGGCACCCCTAGGGGGTAACGGATACAAACAGGGGATAACACCACACCAGGGGCAAAAACAGTTAACCTGTATCTTTTACAGGTGCTCTGGAAGTTCAGCTATTATTTTGGGAGGTTACCAATTCCTCCCCTCCCCCGGGGAAGCAAGAGTGGGGGAACTGCAATTCTTAACAGTTTTAAGTCAGCTAAGTCCAGATGGAATTTAACAAGATAAAGAAAGAGACTTCTCCAGCTCAAAGGCCTTTCCCTTGCTCACCTTAAAAAGGCCTAGCTGCAAACCATGGAGATATAAAAGCTTTAAAGGGAATTAGAAAAAAAAGAGATGAAATACAAGAGGCAAATTAGACTATAGGAGACATTAGCAACCACCTGTTAAACGATCAAGGCCAGATTCAAAGTATGGGAATCAATCTAATACGATGACAATGTGTGTACAAAGTAAAGTGCAAAAATCTTCAGACCTGCACTGTACCTTTTTTACCTTGAGCCAGTATGACCATGTCTTGCACTTTTTTATAGCGATTGAGGGATTGTCGAAGTTCTTCTATCTTCCGATCCTAAAACAAAGAGAGTATCTGTCTGGTAAGAGTGATTTCTTTGTGAAGAGTTGGAAATAAAAAGTTAACTCTCTGACCTTAAATTGCCTAAGACAGGGGTGAGCAAAATACAGCCCATGGGCCAGATCCAGCCCACTAGGCCATTCTCTCCTGCCTGTGGGGCCCCTAAAAAATTTAGAAAATAAATATTTATGTGCCCCTCGGTCCTGTTAAAGATGACAGGAGACGGGGCAGTAGGACCCAGGGGAAGCCCCAGCAGGCTCATGCAATAGTAGGGCCAACCCAGCCCCACCCCCCAGCCCAGTAGAAGCGAGTGGGGTGAGGGAGCACAGGGCCTGTGCCAGTGTCCCAGGACCAGTGCCAGCGGGGCCAAGATCAGGGTAGTAGGAGCATGGGGCATGGTCTGTGGAGCTGGGTTGGGTTGCACCAGCAGGGAGAGAGGGGAGCTGACCCAGCTCCATAGAGCCCTTGCTGACTGGGACCTCACACTCCTGCTGCCCTGCTCTGAGCCCCGCTGGCACTGGCCCTGGCCCTGTGCTCCTGCCAAGCTGCTGCTGTCTCCCATGTGCCTGCTCACTTCCAGTGCCCCCGCCCCAGCCCCATGGTACAGGCAGGAAGTAGCACGCAACCCCAACCCCGTGTGTCCAGAGCTCACCCACAGGGAACGAGCTGGTGCTCAGTGCGATGGAAAAGTGGCTCTCCCCTCCCCATAGTCCGTGCCCCGTGCTGCAACAGCTCACAGCCTGCACAGGGCTGTGCTGCCTCTGTTGTGTCACCACTTCCCCGCAGGCTCTGAGTGGCTGCAGCACAGGGCGCCAACCACAGGAAGAGGAAGCAGCCACTTTTCCCCAGCGCTGAGCACCAGTTGGCTCCCCAGAAACTGCTGCTCAACATGAAGGAAAGCAGCCACAGCTGTGCTGCCCAATGTGGCAACAGCAGCCATGTTGAGCACAGGGCAGCACAGAGGTGGTGGTGAAGCTGCCGCACCGTAGCATAGCGTAGTGCAAGCTCTGGGCCGGCAGCCACAGCAAACAGTGCTCAGTGGCAGCAAGTAGGGCTGGGCACTGTCCTCCGCACTAAGCAACAGCTTTTGGGGAACAAACTGGTACTCAGCACAGGGAAAAAAGCAGCCACTCCCCCTCCCCGTGGCCAGTGCCCCATGCTGCAGCTGCTCAGAGCCTGTGCAGGGCTGTCTGTGCCTACTTGCTGTTGCCACCGCTGCCCCATGGAGCAGCGGTGATGTGGTGGAGAGGCAGGACAGCCCCGCATGGACTGCAAGTGGCTGCAGCATGAGGCACCAGCTACAGGGAGGGGAGTGGAGGGCCACTTTTCCCCTGCATTGAGTACCAGCTGGTTCCCTGTGGGTGAGCATGGGGCACGCAGGGTCAGGACTGCATGCTGCACCCTGCCTATACTGTGGGGCTGGAGCACTGGGAATAAGCGGGCATGCGGAACCCAGTGGCAGCTGGGCGGGAGCACAGCACCCGCACTGCTGTCCCAGGGTCAGCACCAGCGGGGCTGAGAGCAGGACAGCATGGGCACAGGGTCCCAGCCAGCAGGGGCTCTATGGAGCCAGGTCAACTCCCCCCTTCCCTGCTGCTGCAGCCCAGCCAGGCTCCACAGACCCCTGCCAGCCCACACCCCACACTCCTACTTCCCCACTGTGGGTCCCGCCAGCACTGGCCCCAGGACACTGGTGCAGGCCCCACGCTCCCGCTTGCTTCTATTCCCCACCGCCACTTTCCTTACTTCCCTGCTCACCCACTGGCCAGCCACTCTGCACTACATGGCTCCCATACCCTCATCCATATCCACACACACATCCCGCCCCCCACAAACCCCTTATGCGATCACTTCTGCATATACACCACAAGCACACACAAATCAGGACCAAAGTATTTGTTTT